TCCCATCTCGATATCGTCTTCCTCTCTATCAAGCTTTCAGCGGCTGCTAATTTCTGCCAAAGCCAACCCTAATTACTGAAGGCGGAGGAGGCAGATTTAAGGAACTTTGTGTGGGGTGGCACCAGACTCAAGCCGGTGGGGTTTCTTTCTCAAGTTGAAGTTGAATCCCTTGAGATTGCGGCTGTAAATTCGGACACTGATTTAAACTCAGGGGTGAGGTTGTGCAGGAGGAGGAGATGAGTGGTGGGAGTTGATGGAGGAAGACTAGAGGGAGGATGACTGAACGAGGATGAAGGGGTAAGTGGATAAAAAAAATGTTTTATTAAATTTATCTTGGAATCAAATATAGAAATTAACAAAACCCACCAATTTACTCGGGAATGGAGAGTTGACAACTTTTTAGAATTCATTCCAAAATCTTCAATCTCATACCTATTATCCAAGCACTTAAAATGGACATCATTCCAAATTCCAAATCCCATACCCTCAAACCAAGCACCCTTTAGTTTGGTTGAGAAAAGAAAGTAGTACTTTAGAACAAAGGTAGACGATGAGATCCTCGAAATAACATAATTATGAAAACATTTACTATATATATATATATATATGAAGAACAACATTTATTTGGGTTGAAATCAACTATATATACATACATATATATATATACATACATATATATATATATATATATATATATTCTAGTAGTAGCACTAGAGGGAGGGAGTGCTCTAACATTGATTCGGACTAAAACCAATCATCTTATTGGCAAGGTCGTAAGTGACCCGCATCCCTTGCTGCTGTATATTCCCAAGTAGTGACGCGCCTTCCGAAGTGCTGGCAAAAGCCAAACAGTGCTTGCCACTGGTATCAACACGAAACAAGTAATTTGCAGGCCTCAACGGCAGCGTTTTGCCCCCAGAGAAATCAAGCGACATCGTTGGATAGCCGTCTGTGGGGTTTGAGGATAGATCATAGCAAGCGTCCAATTTAAATATGCCTTCAGCGTACCCGCTCGTGGGAGGCAAGGCTTGAGCGTACTTAACAAACGTATCACGGACCGAGTTATAAACCTCATCTGGCAACAGAGTTATGGTGGTGCCCGAGTCAACTACAATTCCCCCGCGTCCGTCTTGGCCTATTTGGTAAGCTGATGCCGGAATGGGTACTTGTTCTCCATTAATGGTAATCCCCGTGAGCTCCACGTAGTAAAAAATCCCACTTGGATTAAAAATCAAAGGAACGAGGACTGAGTCACCAGGTGGAGCTGAGTTAAACTCAAGGGTCGAGGACTTGCCCGAGTCCATATCCACAAGACAGTAGGAGAAGGACGTGGCTTGAATTTTAGAAGGAAAGCTTACAGGAGTGCCCCCAAGACCAAGTATCCCAGACGCCCCCACGCTTTGATTTGTATGGGCGCACCCGATGGCTACTTTGTCAACCGAACCTGAACTTCCAAACGACACCGTTTCAGTGGCGAATTCTCCCACGACGCTGGATCCCTCTAAGTAGCCCGCTCTAAACATACACGGGTCAGCAGTGCAATTTCGGTTTTCGCCCAGGGAGGCACATTCCTGGGATGCGCAGGATAAAAGACTATAAGATGAAGACCCAGATGGGTCAAAGACCGAACCGGACACGCTAGAACATCCATCGCAGGGTAGGCATTGGAGCCAGTTGATTTGGCTACCCGTATCCGCTACCAGGAGGAATTCTTTTACTGGTTGGCCCACTCCGACCTGAGCTAAGTACGCTCCTCCAAATGGAGTCAGCGTAGTTTCCAGGTCCTCCGGTTGGACTTGGGCGTCCGGTTTAACGTCATGAGGGCGGTTGAAGGTGGAGAGAGCCCGCTCAATTTTGGAGTTGATGAGCTTGGCTCGGGCTCGGTCACTCGCCAGTCGGGAGCGTACGAGGTCGGAGTAGTTGTTGTTTGGCGGCTTTATGATGGATGAATAAGGATGTAGGGAGAGGGACAAAACGGAGGAGGTCGAGGTGGGCTGAGCTTTTTCTGTTGAGAAGAGCTGAAGTCTTTTGAAAACTGAAGCAGAGACTGCTTGAGGTGAAAAGGGACTGAGGGGGAAGAAGAAGAAGAAGAGGATGATGAAGATGTTAATGGAAGGAAATGGCCTTTGAGCTTCTCGAGCCATGTTTGTGGGTTTGGAGCAGAAGAGAAGTGATGAGAAGTTTGGAACGAGCAAGGGTTTATATACACGTCGATCTGCATGGAGGGCATGTGGTTAATTAATTTAAGACATGGCTGCATTCACATTTTACAAAGGGTACATATACATTTACTAGTCCTTCAAACGAAGACATGTTCGGAGAATGTAGAATAACTGATATTCCTTGTTACGAGACAAGAGTCTAGAAGAAGAATGAAGAGACCTTTTTTTTTTCAAAAAAAAAATTCTTTGAAGCTTAATAAGGAATTTTTATTCATGTTAAATCCGCGAGAACAGCATCAGACACCAACAGACCCTTCTTCCCTGAAGAAATGAAGAGAAAATTAAACAAGTAATAATGGTGGGTGCTATGGGTTAATATATGCAAGTAATAATTTTTCGTAAAGAAATCATCAAGGGTTTTACGTTAAAAAAAAATCTTCAAAGGTTTTACATGCAACGGATCTTCTGTCCCACACTCTATACCACTTTCTATCTTACTTTGTATTATATTGTCATTTCTCTTACATAAACATCATGTTTTAGTTCTTTTTTATTTTCTTAAAATCCAATAACTATTAATTGAGTAATACACAAAATTTAACAAACTCAAAAAATCAAAATGCATAAAAAAATGAGATTTTTATGAATTTTTTGCTGTATTTTTTAATTTTCTATTATATATTGCTTTTTTGAACTGTTATATTTATTTTTATTCAATTAATAGCTATTGAATTTTAAAGAAACAAAAAAAAACTAAAATATGATGTTTATGTAGGAGAAATAGTAATATAATAAAAAGTGAGATAGAAAGTGACAAAGATTACCAGACAGAAGATCTGTTGCGGATTTTACATGCAAATTCTTTCCCCAAGAGTTGTGGAACACAAGGAATTATGTGGCTCTCTAAACTCACACGGTCCACAATTTTACCTGCGTGGTCCGGGTCCATCTCTAAGAAGAAGAGACAGTACAATTGGAATTTTTTTTGTATAATGAATGCGATGGCACTTTCTTTGAACAGAGAAAAATCCTGCAAAGAGGCCAATCACCAAATACCGTAGACGTTCATCTTGACACATAAACCATACTTGAAATCAAAGTTGAAAATTCAGATAATCGTGTTTCATGCAGAAACTCCCTTTCGGTATCGCATGCATATTAGGCGACTAATTAGCTGTCAACGGTACGCAACATCAAAACAGCTGATGTGGGACAGAAGATCCGTTACGTACACAACATCAAAACAGCTGCACTTTTACCATTCGTCAACCAATCAGACCATTTCGTCTTCTTGTCCATTTGATTTAACCTAGAGAAACTCTAGTCGTCATTCGTTAATGCTCTTTCTAGTTGTTTAAATAAAGAAGAAACTTTAAATTTTTGGTACACAAAAAAAAAAAGAACAAATGGCCTTAATTTGAACTCATTTATCAAAAACTTTAATTGTCTAGTCGCCAAATCTGTAAATGTATAATTGCTTCTACATATTTGTCCCTAGCCTAAACTTTTTAGAACTTTAAAAACAAATTGTATTGTACACTGAAACAGTTACATGTCCTAAATTAGAGTTGCCAATGAAAGATGGCCAACATTCTAGTTTTCATAGGATATTACACTTTTCTATGGTTTTCAATTAATGAGAACCACGAGCCCAACATTATGGAATAGGGGTTGTATCAAGGCACCGCACCAGAGGGCTCATTGCAATTGGATAGAATATTCTGATGCAGACTCGTTCGACCAGTCTGCAGGTAAAGCCTATTGACTCAGTGGCGACTAGTCGATCAATCAGACAAACCAAAGAAGTTAACCTTCTTTGATACCCATTAATCAGAGCCCACAAAGACCAGGACTTTTTTCTTGCCAATTTTCGGTAAGGCAAAAACAAAGCATTAAAGCTGGAAACAAAAAAAGAAAATTTCCCCTTTTATAGTTTTATTAGGTCAAGCCAGGAGCAGGACTAGAAGAAAGAAAATGTGTTTCTTCCATTAATTCTTCGCAACGTAATTCTTCCTTTTATGTGTACACTAATTCTTCACCAGATCGGCAGACCTTACGAGTTCCAGCTCGATCGTGCAACGAGCGCAACTGATAAATCATTACAGCGAAAACGGAGAGGATTTGTCTTGTACGTATACCTCAATTGACATGACCGAATATGTGTGGGAAAAGCTAGCTCAAGGATTAATCCAGCAAAAACAATCAAGACTCAACATAACTTACTATCAAATTAAAATGAAGACAGCAGGGCTGAATCCAATCGGCCTTGTATTATTTTGCAAGCATTCATGTGGAAAATGAAACAGCCAATGGAATGGAATGGTCGTACAACTCCCTCCTTGCCAGAACTTTATTCATTCTATATCTATCGACGAAATACATCATATATACCCTGTTTACTAATCGAAAGAACGATTATTTTTCCTATCTAATGTGTATCTGATCATGTATAGACGCATGACTCATGTACGTTTTAAATTTTATATCTATAACATGTATTTAAATTCGTTAATATATGCATACGCTGTCAGTGTACAAAATATATTTATTAAAACAAAATCTTTTAATTTATAAATTTCTCAAGTTCATTATCATGTTTTCATGACTAAGTTAACCGATGAAAAAAGGCACTCAATTGACGGAACTTTTCAACATAAGTAGATAACGTCCCAACAGAATTCAGCCAAAACTTTCGTCGTCCTCTCACGTGCCCGGCGTGTGGATTAGAAGCATTCAGTCCTTCGCGCCTTGCGCGTTAGCTTCCCACCTGGCCTCGTTGCCAGTGTCCCATGTGCTTCTGCTGCATTCTCTCTTCCCGCTGCCTTCTCTCTGCAGCTTCTCTCTCTCTCTTTCTTCTGTCATTCTTTTTCCTCTTTTCTCTTTCTCTTCTTCTTTCCACAACAATGTTGCTCTGTCCTCTCAATTTCTCTCTCCTTTCCTCTAGGGTTACGTACATCCTCATACTTTGTCCATTCGCTCCTCCTCCTCCTCCGTCGACACACTGTCTCCCTCTCCTCTATCGGCTCCTTTTCTACCCAGCATCAGAGGTCCGCTTTCTTCCACTGGCCCTGGGATTCCCCTTTCGCCTCCTTCTGCTTCAAGTTCAGCCTCGCTGTTCCCTTTTTTTTTTTTAATACCATTTCTCCTCCACCGCCACACCTTCTTCCTCTCATTTATCTCTCAGCCTTTGGGAGGCCTTTCAATTCCATAGCAAGATCCTCGCCATCATCGGCATCTCTCACTGCCTTTCCTCCCTAGATCTCCAAACCCTCCGGACCCAGACCCTCGCCCTTTATAGGCTCGGCTCCTCCAGATCTCCAGACCATCCTTGCTTGGAGGAAACAGAGAAAGAGAACAATTAAAGCATCTTCCTTTTCCCTTTTTCCTAACCCTAAGCTGACCCGCCTTTCATCCCCGCCGCTCTTCTCACACTTCCTCTCCCTTTCCTGCCCTTTCTTCTCCCTATCCCATCTTACTACGTATAGTTTACTTCTTTATTCACCGGCACCCGAATTCGAGTATAATCCTCCTTTGCCGTCCAAAACAACCTGTGGGAAGTTGGATAAAGGTTTGCCTTTTTTTTTTCCTCAATCGGTTTTTCATACTCTGTTGTCTTATCTTACGAGGTAATGGGTCTGGATTTGAAGCAGGTGCATCAACGATTGTAAGATTTTTCTTGGTTGGGTCTTGTCATCAGATGCGTAAAAGGAGAGATGGGGTTTAGTAGCTGTTTCAGTGCATTTGGTTCTTGCAAGGGACAAATAAAGCACATGTGCCATGAGGTAAGAACCAAGAATATTTCAATTTTTAGTTTAGGCTTGAATGGAGGTTTTTCTCAATTATTGCTAAATTTGAGCATGGTGATAATTTTGTTGATTGGATTTAACAGTTTACGAATAAGTAATTGAACCTGAATTTATGTTTCCCGATTTCCAATTTTCAACTCTAGATATTCCCTAGGCAATCACAACCTTCAAGCTTCTCATCATAACTATGCGTCCTTAGGAAACATCTGTTTTTTCTAACTTGATAAGTGGAGTCGATCCATGTATTCTTAAGGTAGCTATGTTACCCAGTTTAGAGTTGTTTGGTTCAGAAAAAGCTCCAAAGTCAGGTTTCAATTTGAGCTTAATCTAAGCGGGACATAAGTGCCTTTAGCGGCTCACAACTTAGATAACAGTTTCAGTTCAAAGATATAAGAACCTGAATTTTTTTTGTGAGATTTATACTGCATATTTTAGGATGGGTGTTATGGTTTCATCTGAATAGTGCATATACTAATCTACAACTCTTTTCCATGATTTTGTATATGATCACTTCTGATTCTCTGGTTTTCTATCTGCTTCTGCATGGTTAGAGCTTGCTACCAGCAATGTTAGGCTATTCTCATACAACTCTTTGAGGTCAGCAACATGACACTTTCTCTCCTCAAACTAGAATAGGAGGCGGCAGTTTTGGAGTAGTATACAGGATATGATCAATCTTAGTTTGTGTGTCTGCATAAGTTTTACTTTTATGGCAACTTTGATTCGGAGAGTAATATAGAGGAGAGGAATGAGGAACTAAGCTATTATGGTACCTTACCAATATCATTCTTATGTTCGGTCCTCCTCAATTTGTTAGCTCTTCATAGAGGCTCTTATCCAGTTTTTTGTACTTTTACCTTCTTGCATCTCACCTTAAAATTACTTGTTAGAGAATGAAACATGGTGCAATGATATTGACATGTGTGTAATTCCTTATGAGCTGGTGGATTAAAACTTCTGTTGGCTATTGAATAAGATGAGTAAATTTCTTATATCAAGAATTCAACAAGAATGAAACAGGCAGACCTTGATAATTGTCTACTATATGATGGTTTATATGTGTAGATATGCATTCAAGTGTCATCGAAAATCTGGAGCTGGAAGGGACATTGTCTACCCCATTGAATTCAATTGCATTTCATCTTATATAAGTGGTGCATATACATTTATCCACAATAAAGAGATTATTGTTCAGCAGTCATTCATTGGAAGTTGGATTGTATGGCCTCTTTTTTTTTTTTTCAAGTTTTGTTAAGAAAGAAAATCAATGCTAAGATATTTCACTAGTGGAGCTGGATCTATTACAATTTTCTATTGATTGAATATCTTTAGCCTCTTCTTGTAATCTATCTCAAAACTGATTTAAATATGCAGCTATGGTACATTTGCTACTGGGGGTTGTGATGGTTATGTTAGTGTGTGGGATGGAAACAACAAAAAAAGGCTGTATCAGGTACTTTTTCCACACTGAATTTGAAATGTCTTCAACTTCATGCTGACTGTAGACACCAAATTTTTGGTGTAATTTCTTTTACTTTTTATTCTCATTTATCGTGGTTGCTTTTAGTTTTTTTTAGTTTCTAGTTTCTATTTTTATTTTTAAGTTTTAGCGTAGAAAAATCATGAAAAAAGAGAAAAAGGAAAATTGTTCACAAAATAGGTTTATTTCTTTTTAAATTCAATCTTTTGACTTTATTTATTTTTTGGTTAGGTTATTTCGAAAACAAAAGAAAAGTGAAAAATGAAAATGAAAAATGGAAATTTGCATTTTTTGTTGTTTTTAGTTTATTTTTATCTAATGTTAATTAAGTTGTTTTCATCATTAATTATTATTGTTTTATTATTATCATTTTTGTTGTTTAATTAATTAATTAAAAAATAAAAATAAAAATAACATTTCCATCTCTGCCGGAGTGCATTCCCTTCCCTCGACACACACACTCAACCTCCACTACCGCGAATCACTCCACTACCTCAGCCTCAACCACAAACACTCCATCTCCATTCTCCACCTCGTGATCATCGACGAGAGCAAGAGAGGGAGAACTCCTCGGATTGAGCAGGAGAAAGGTGAAGAGAGAGCGAGCCGCGAGCTGTATTTCTGTTCTGTCCGAGGAAGTCAAGCGAGAGAGAGAGCAAGAGGCAGTCGAGTGAGCTACTGATCATCACCATCTTCACCAGTTCCAATCGAAACACCACAGCTTCAACCATCCGCAACCAGGACCAACACATCCAACCGCGAGCGAGCAGAGAGGAGAGAAACATCAGCTTTCTGTCGTCTGAGTGAGCTTTCGGTGAGCTACAACAACACCCTCTACCTTGGAATCATCGAAGTGAGGAAACCAGCGAGGGAGAGGGAGCTGCCATTCCATTTTTCACCCTCAACTAGCCGTGATCAATTCAGTCACAACCATTACAGCTGCAACCACTGAATTCAGACTAACCATCCTCGCGTGCGTGAGCTGCCGAGAGGAAAAATTGCAGCTGCTGTCCGTGTGAGCTTTTCATCCATTTCCTTTCGTCTGTAAACTAGAAAGAGATTGGGAGCCATATTGTCTTCATACTGGTCGCAAGCTAGAGCAAGGGAGAAGGAGAGTTGCGGACTGAAATTCTGGACAGCCGAGAGTAGAGGATTTTTGCAGCTGCTAGTTGCGTGATTTGAGCCTTAAGCTGAGGTAATTTCTGGACTTAAGCTAGTTGATTATGGCTTGATGAAGTTGTTTATAAGCATGCATGTGAGATTGTGTGGCTAGATGATAGTTTAAGTCACAGAAAAATCTGTTTGAGAAGGAAGTGAAGCTGCCGAGAGCTTGAGCTGGAAGTTTCGGTTTTTTTTTAATTTGCTAGTTGTGATGATCTGAGCTTAATTTTGAACTCAACCTGCTAAATAGTTCTTTATTTGGTACTGCATGTGAACGTTATGGGCAGGATTTCGGTTGCATGGCTGGATTTTTTTTTATTGGAAGTATTAGACTGCTAAACTAATTTTCCAGCTTTGCCGAGAAGCTGAAATGGAAATGCAATTTTAATTTCGTTCCCCTGAGGCAGGCTGAGCTTATAAATGTGATTAACTAGCTAAGAAGTAGGTGATTAAGCTTTGCATGAAGTTCATTAGTTCGGCTAAGCAAGGAAAAAATATGAAACAGAAAACTGCTACATGCAAGTTCATCCGAGGGTGGTGAACAGAATTTCTGGAATTGTGGATGATTATAGTTGCTGACCGAACTTGATTTGAACTAGTTATGATAGTAATTTCATTAAGTAGCCTTGCATGTTAGTTTTGAGTACTTAGCACAATGATTCAACCGAGGTAAATTCGGATTTAAGACCAACTACCTGCTGGAAAATGCATATTCATTTTTTGCTGCACCAGAAATTTACGGTTGTGTCTTGCTATTTTCTTCCATTGCGGTTCCAAACTTTGCTGTTTTTGTTAGATAGTAATTCCAGCCTTGACCGAAAGTTGTAGTTTGTATGCATGAGAAGCTTAACAGGATTTTGAGCATGGGTTTGTGATTCGAAATGCTTGAGTGCAGCTTCCATGCGAACTGCCTAAGCTCAAAAGATTTGTTTGCTGAAGTTTCAAACCTTTGATGTTTTGCTAATTTTTCTGTTTGAATGAAGTTGCTAATTTTTCTGTTTGTTTGAATAAAGTTGCTAAGTTTTCTGTTTGTTGGGTCTGAATGAAATTGGTTGGTTTGGAAAATTTGATCACGGTTGTGATTAAGAAGCTTGAGCTTGAGAAGAAAGTGCAGCAGTCTTCGGTTGCTAGAGTATGTGAAGTAATTGCAGAAACTTGTTTCATGGCTATTGCATAGAACTTGCATGTTTTTTCCTTCTAAATTTTCTACCTGTTGAGGCGATGGTGATGACATAGTTTGCAGCTTAGTTAAAGCTATGTATGTGAGCTTGAGATCTGTTTTTTTTTGGAAAATAAGATGTGAGTTTGAATTGGGTTTCGTTTGAGCAAACATGAGAGAAAATATTGCAGAAACTCACTTTGAATTTGATTTACCTGTTTGTTTGGTTGTTAGATTCATGCTTTAATGTGTTGGTTAGAAGATTTTTCGATCAAAATGGTGTTAAGGTTGAGAAAATGAAAGTCACGGTTGTCTTCTGGGTTGCCGAAAGCTTTCAGCAGAAATTTCTGCTGCAGAATGTTGTTTCTCATGTTGATTTTCACGTAGCTTGCATGGGTTTTGCATGAAATAATTTCTGAAAATTACATTTTTAACCCCCCAAGTCCCCTCTTGACTCACTAGGGCCCAAGTAATTGGAACATTTAATCAATTTGATCCTTTTAAGTTTCTTTTTGTTCCACAAGAGCCCAAGCATGTTCTAGTATCTTGTAATTAAGTCCTAAAATCATTGCAACTTCAATCTTTGTTTGACTTTTCCTTTATTTTTAAGATCTTTGAAGTGCTTAAACGATTTATTTGGACTTGAATGTTCGAGTAATGCTTGTTTTGGGTCTTTAGTAGATGCTATATTTGGAAATTGAACGGGTTATTCCGTTTTCTTGGTCTTTAAGCATTTTTTGAGCTCATTCAAGTTGCAATTAGGTGGTTTTTGATGTTTTTGCTTATACTTTACTTTTAAATTGATGCCTTGACCCCTTTATTGTTTTGAAGCCATTTTCCTTCATTTGCTTACCATTAGGGGAAGGTATAACTTTCTTTTATCCTCTTTACTTCTCTCTTACGTGCTCCTACGTGTTACGTGAATTGCATGTCTACTTGGCTTTCTTAAGTTTTCTTTAATTCCTTTCATTTTTAAGTCTTTCTTTTATTTATGGGGTATGTGTACACCTCTTGGCTTGTAATAGATAGGGCATTGGAGAGCACTTTGTCCATTTTTCCCCCTTCCCCCATTTGTCTTAGTTAGCCCATGTAATAGTTTCATTTGCTTTTGGGGTATTATTTGGTTTGCTATGTGTTTAATTTGCTTTATTAAGCTATTGCATCTAGTCGAGCATGCTAAGTGTTATGTGCTACGTGTTATAAGTGATTTTGCATGTCTACTTGCTTTCTATATTTATAAATGAATGTGATGGATGAATGTACGTTTCCACTAGTCCAACGCTAGTCGGAATTCATAGAATGGGCTAGTCCAACGCTAGACCCTTAGGGACTTCCCCTCGTTAGTACATGTTTGCATGTTCATTACATGTCATGCATTTTTTTTAAATTTTATCATTTTGCATGCCCCTCGAACCCCTTTTCCCTCCATTTTAGGATTTTTGCATTTCATACTAGTTATAGGGTTCATCTGCTTGAGGGTCCCCTTAAATATGGGATATAGACGAGTGTGGCTTTTTCTAAGCCTTAGCACGCTTGTATTCCCTCTATAAAAGGGCAAATTGAATCACGATTTAGGTCTCCCCGTACCCAATATGCATGAATTCCCTAGGCTCATGCATTTTCAAATCCACTCTACCATTTTATACCCTCATCACACTTTCATTTTTCCTCCCATTTTGCACACGTGCATCTTTATTTTTTCTTCACTTGCACACGAACACTTTTATCATCACTTGCACACATGCACTTCATATTATCATTTCACATACCGTACCTTGCCCACTCACGTGCACATTTTCATTTACATATTTATTGTTTTTTATTACTTTTTCAAACTCATGTCCTCACATTGCATACATGCATTTCATTCATTTGCATCCCACTCGCATTATTCGTGACCTCTCCAAAGGGTCATTATTGGGCTTCACAATTAATGTGATTGGCACCATTCAACCTTTGAAGAGAAATTTTCCCCAATACCCCTAGGTCTAGGGTTTGCATTCATATAGTACATCCAAATGTAATAAATTTTTTGGTTAAAACAAGAAAATATTTGATTAAATCACGCAACTAGCCTTGGCTAGGTCGAAGGGGTGCCTTGGATTTTTATCCTTGCCTTCCCCTTCGTCAAATGTGACTCCCGAACCTTTTTCGTTGGTTTACGTGGACTAGGAGTCGTTTAAAAGGGGTTTCTTAATATTTTCTCCTATTTTTCTTTAAAAATTCATTTTTAGGTGACTTGGTACACCTTAACTCATTACCAAGTGGCGACTCCGATTTTTTACTTCAAAAACCCTTTTTAAACTATAATTTTGGGTCAAATCGTCGCATTCTCAAGCCCCCATTTAGACCCATTTTTCTTTTAAATAACAATTCATTTTCCAATCACAAATTGAATCAAAAAATACATTTTCTCAAACCATTTATTTATTTATCAAAAAATGGGGCGCGACAGTTGGCGACTCCACTGGGGACTTATCCAATCCACTCTCAAATCTACAACCACATAAGCTTAAAACTTTTAGCGAGCTAGCGAGCAAAACCGATTGCGGAACGCTAAAAATGTCTATCTGAGCCCGACAAACTATCAATGCAAACAGCAAGTTCTGGAGCAGTCCTGTCTACTGCTATACCAATCCATTGGTCCATATTAGGCATCAACAACTCCATATCAGGGAAGTCAATATACAATTGAAATCTTTGTACGCAAAATCTAGTTGCAAGCGCCGACAAATGGAATTTCCAGCAAGAATCAAGAAATCATGTTTTCGCTTTTTTATATGCAAGTCACCAAGAACTTGCTCTTGTTCTGTGACTGAATTATCATAGAAAAAGTGGAATACAAGATAAGGATAAGTGGACCAGGTGCGATTCCAAGTCTTTGACAATATTGCAGTAGAGGTAACATCTCTGGCACGCAGATAAGATAAAATGTGATGAATCACGGAATCAGGCAACCGCGAGATGAAGTCCAAAGGGGCAATCTCCAAACCAGATCTCTCCTGCTCACATTCCTCTATTATTAACCAACAAAAGCGTTCATTGACCAGTTAGAACTCAAATTTCATCTGTCACTCATTTACGAACTAATTCCAACTCCAATATGCTTGATAATCAAAACAGAACCAATTAGAACTCAAACGTTCATTATTCATTCATAATTATACACTAATATGAACTGAAACGTGCTGGATTATCAAAGTTATGCGCTAATTTGAAACTCAAACAGTTCCTTATTTATTGACGACCATACACAAATTCGAACTCCAACGTGCTGATTCACTACAATTATATGCTAATCAAAATCAAAAGTCTTCATCCATTCATGATTATAAAGTAATCAGACTAAATGGTGCAGGATTATTACAATTAAGCAACTGAAGCATTTATAGAAAGAAAGTTTACAGAGTACCTGATTCCATGAAGGGCAAGCCGGCAAAGACTTTGAATCCCGAAGGCGAACCTGATTATATCAGTAAATGTTATAAAGTTAGCGAGGAAATCTATTTAAATTAAGCAAGCCATAAGAAGATTGCAAATTCCAGCTGACTTTGTGAATTATAATGTTGAGCAGAAAATAAAGCATGATCATAAGGATGACCAAAAGTACCTGAAAATAATTAATAGCCTCTGTAATTTAGCCCCAATTCCCGGAACATGTAGACGACGGGAGCGACGGTCAATTAAGATTAGCCACATATTGTGGCAAGTACGAGGGAGGAAGGGGTAAGGGGTAAGGGGAGATGGTCAACTAAGACCAGCCACATATTGTGACAAGTATGAGGGAGGCAGGGGTAGAACCCCTGACCTCCAACATCACCAAAGAGGGTGATGACTACTGGACCAAATGGCCAGTGGCGAGAATAGAGATACTACATAGCATGAAACTGTGAATACACGTAGTTGGGTAGTAGACTACTAGTTTCTTTCATTAGTTTTCCTTGACAAAATATTTTTGGCTCCGTTTGAATTAATTACTTTTTTTTTATATTTTTAAAACATTTTACTGCAACAGTGTATATGAAAAATTTTGATTGTAAATTTTTTTGTGATATTTTTGAATAAATTTTTAAAATATATTTTGGAGTACCTTTTAAAATTAAAATATTTTTAAAGTACTTCTTAAAAATTAATACTATCACCCACAACCACAAATAACCACCAACACCACCTCCACCACCCACTCCTTCCTCCTTTCTCTTCCCCTCTCTTCCCTTTCCCTGCCCCACCCCCTTAATCTGGCAGCAACCAAAGGCTGCGATCTGGTCGCGGCCAGAAAGTCTAGTATCGACTAGATTGCGGCCTCTAGTCACAACTAGAGACCTTGATCTGGTCTTTGGCAGATTGAGGGAGGAAGAAATGAGAGGGGGGTATTGGTGGTAGGCGGGGATGGTGGTGGGTGGTGGTGGCGAGTAGTGGTGGTGATAGGTGGAAAATGTTATATAATTCAATTTTAAAAATTTTTTTGTGTATATTTGTGAATTATTTTTTATATATTGTATGGATGAGATGTTTTTGAGTTGTTTTATTTGTGTATTATTCTAGCATTGTATTTGAAAATTTTGTTTTTGAAAAATAGATTTTTGGATTTTTTAGTAGAAAAATATACTATATCAATTTGATGTATGTGAGATAAAAATGTTTTGAAAAATATGATCATAAAAAATATTAAAAAAAATTTCTGCAGAAAAACTTCAAGGAATTTCTAGAGAAAAAGAAATCCAAAATCCTAATTTTTTCCTTTTGTTTTTAGAAAAGGAAAAAGTGCAAGCCAAAAAGCAATAAAATGGATAACTTCTTTTCATATGAATATATGATGTTAAGTACTTTATGTACTCATAAAACCCATATTTTGGTTTAAGAAAAGCAATACCTAATGAAATTGTAAAATGAGAACGGTAACAAAGATTATAGTCTAAAGTACTCGTTTGATAGGCTAGTGCAATTTGGCGTTTCACTTGTACGCTTCAAATGCACATCATCAATCAGGTATCCGGACGCTTGGCTATGCAACTTGAACAATCATCACATGTAGAACTGAGGGGGCGCTTGGTTCAAGTTTAGGAATTGGAATTGTAATTGGAATCATAGACTCTGGTTTTGGAATTAAAACTTTTCATTCCAATATCTTGCTTGGTTCACACATTGGAATTAGCATTATTCCAATTCCTGATGCTTGGTTTGATGAGTGTTTCGGAATTAAATGCAATTAAATTCCAAATTTACCCCTGATATAACAATTCTTCTAAAACAAAAGAATTACACATACGACAAATTAACATTTTCATAATTGTAACTACAATAGTTATTAACTTTTTAAAAACATAAGAAAATCATAAATAATAAAAAAATTAATACCAAAAATAAATATAGTGTGCTGCATTAACAAGGAGTAAATTCCCAAAAAAAGGAGTTTTTAAACAATCACCCAAAAGGTGACGATTTTTGAGTCTCTTCCAAAGGGTGAAAAATGCATCCAAGGAATGTGTTCTTCCAAATATGTTTTGGAAATTTGTTTAAATATGAAAAATTGGTTAAATAGCCCATAAGATACCAGCTCTTTATGGAAACTGGCAGGTTTTGTACCAGCTTTATGGAAAAATTGATTAAATAGTGCCCAAAGGAAAACTAGTATGTTTTGTATTTAACATAAATTAAATATGTGAAAGTTAAAAAAAAAAATTGCCCATAAGATACCAGCTCTTTAAGGGAAACTGGCAGGTTTTGTAGTATGTTTTGTACCAACTCTTTATGGAAAACATACCAACTCTTTATGGAAAAAATTGATTAAATAGCGCCCAAAGGAAAACTAGTATGTTTTGTATTTAACATAAATTAAATATGTGAAAGTTAAAAAAAAAAAGAAATTACTCATAAGATACCAGCTCTTTATGGGAAATTAGCAGGTTTTGTATTTAATACGCTATTTAACCAATTTTTTTATTTAAACAAATTTACGAAAATTAAAATAACGTATTTGAAAGTTGCATTTTTATTTGGAAGAACGCATTTCTTGAATGTGTTTTTCATCCTTTGGGAAGAGACTCAAAAATTGCCAGCCTTTAGGAAGTTAGTTTAAAAACTCTTTCTTTTTGGAAATTTACTCCATTAACAAGTCGTTTGTGGTTCCTACATTAGATAATGATATGAAATAGATCTCTCCTTACATATATGAACAAAAGAAGGAGACTCAAATCACAAAAGCTAACCATACCAAATACAAATCAATTGTCTAATCCAGTCGAGAGTGCCACTCAATGTCCACAATCTCCAAAAGACTAATCATATAACCATCTAACAATCACCATAACAAAAAGAAATTGCCATCAAATCATCACTTTCCAGCTAACAATAATTTTACTTCAGCGAGTAGATGGAGGATAAAGGAGGTTAATTACATATTGTCGTTTCATTTCTGCAGGAAGATTGTAGAACACATGAAGCTTGGAAATCTGCTCCGAAAGTATGTCGGCTGCATTCATTACATCTCCACTCGGTAAAGCAAGTTTCATTAACTCAGCAACAACTTGATCTCTTCTATCGGAGACCAATTGCTCACGTTTATCCTCATTTGACATGGCTGCTGCCATAGTTGTGAAATTAGCTTGAATTCCCTCCACGAAATCTCCAAATTTGCTGGTGAGAAGTTGCAATGATGCATCAAGATCACCCCTTGTTGTTGATGCAGATTTCATTTTTTTTGACACATTTGCAATGGGAGGGGATTGTTTCTTTTGTTTCTTGGAATTTCTTGTGCTTGTTGAGCTTGGTTGAGTTGATTGCTCCATGGAATTTACTTCATCTTCTTCTACCTTATCATTATCCGAGTTTGACATAGCATCAAGCCCTTCATCTCCTTCCTCCAAATTTTGGACATCTTCCATATCTTGGACAGCTTGTGCAAAATCTTCAGCAACATTTCCAGTGGCTCTGTCTCTTCCATATACAATTTCAAGATCTCCTAAATATGGAAATTTGACATCCCAAAGGCCCTTCGCATCCTTATGAGTCTAGAGATAGAATAGAAAGATAAATGATAATCTTAATAAAAGGTTGAAAAAGAACATATCAGAATGTAAAAAGTAATCAATTTCTTACCTTGCACCAATCATCATACCACTGTTTTTCACAAGAAATCTTTTTCTCAGCATCATTCCAACTACAACCACTTTCTTTGCACATTTCAACAATTGCATGGAACCTATTTTTCAGCCACTTAACTTTTGATTCAATATGTGGGCTGACTTGTTTGGTAAAAGTAGGTTGCTTACGCAAGATAATTTTAAGCAATTCGCTCATATAATTATTTTTAAATCCTCCATCTGATTTCCACATTGGATCACAAGCCAACTCTTGCAATGATTCTATGAGCACTTTTACCTCTTCACCAGTCCAAAAACATTTATTTTTCCCTCTTCCACGTACAATTTCATCATTCTCCATCCTATCATTTAGAAGTCAACCCATATATATCAATTAATTTTGATACACAATAGCATATAACTGAAATTTATAATATAACAAAACACATAAAAGAACATACAATTAAAAGTCAATCCAAATTTAAAAGAACATACATCAAGTGTCAATCTAATTCACAAATCCACTACAAGAGTACATCAAATGTCAATCCAAATTTAATGAGTCTAAGAGCTAAACATCCATTCATAGCTAAATACTAAGTCCAGCCCTCCAATTGTCAAACATTTCATGTGCTAAATTATTTCTAAAATTTGCCCATTGATCACTTGGCAAAATAGTGGATATGTACTCTACTTCTTCATCACTGTCTTCATCTTCACTTTCATTTTCTTCACTTTGTAGTAATTCTTGTGGATCAAAAGTCATGAACTTCCTTATCAAGTTGTGCAGCAGACAACATGCCATAATTATTCGCACTTGTGTTTGAATTGGAAAAAATGAAGGGGATGCTAGAATCTTCCACCTTCCTTTTAGCAATCCAAAACATCTTTCTATGATATTTCTAGCTTTAGAATGTTTCATGTTGAAATATTCCTCTGGTCTTTGTGGTCGATAACCATTGAATTCATTAAGGTGATATCTTTGCCCTCGATAAGGGGCAAGAAATCCATCAGCATTACAATATCCAGCATCCACCAAGTAATAACAACCTTCAAAATTCAATCATGTACAAATTAATACTAGACTACCTTATTTTCGAAAAAAAATTGATTGAATGGTATTGAATACTGCAATATATGTTTACCTTGTGGGACTCTAAGACCATTTGGTCTAGAGATAGCATTTCGAAGCACACGACCATCATGTGCCGAACCTTCCCAACCAGGCAAGACATAGATAAATTGCATATTAGGAGAACAAACCCTAATACATTCGTTGCAATACTTCCTTTTCTCGTTCGGTATCTTGATTTTTGTTCGGTGGGTGGTGTCACATCTATTAATGTCCCATCTAAGGCACCTAAACAATTCTATTTTAACAAAAATAAAAAATATAAATGAGTTAAAATGTCTATATTGGATAGTTTAGATGAAAACATACATTTTATTAAATGATTGTATTTTAATGTTTGAATTACCTTAAAACATTTCCATCTCTCATCTGTGCAATCTTCGGTAATAGGCTCAGGCTTCTTAAGTAATATAGTATGCAATTTCAAAACTGCTAGGAGGCAAAGATTAAATTGACGACTCACCGTTTCTCTACTTCTCCAAAATAGACCACAAATTGTTCTACTTTTCTTGTGGTGAGCCAAAACATATACAAACATGGCAACAATTTCTTCTATTGACATGTTTCTTGTAGCTTTCAAACCTCCAGTGTCTCTAATCATTTCACATAA